CACACACACACACACACACACACACACACACACTTACCAGTATAGTTAAGCCAGTCTGAATAACTTATGCTGAAAGTGTCAAAAAATAAAACGTGATAAAAAAAAATTCTGAGCACTCAGTAATATGTGGAGTTAATAATCTTTTGCAGACTGTGTGGCTTAAAATACACAAGAAAACTGTTACCTTTACAATCAGGGTGGCAAATTTATTTTAAATATGCAATGAGTCCACCAAAATTGTTTTTCTCACAATCAGTGTTCCAGAACAGCACGACAGGAAGCTACTATATCAAACTAGCTCGCTACTGCAAAAGTTTACTTATTTATTATTATTACTATTATTAATTTTTGTTTTTGCAAAGCCCTGTAAAAAACTTCTGTGCCATGTTAGAAGGGTATTGATATTAAGTACATAATGCATGCAATTAAAAGGCTTCAAAAAATGTTTCCATCAAATAAACTACATGGTGATTGTACATATCCCACAAATACAGAGAGTGTTGTGGGAACAAGCTGATACACCAAACCAAAATGTAGAAGTAATTTGTTGCTTAGAAGTTCACTTAGACTTATGTAATAACAAATTAATAACAAATTACAGGTAATAAAAAATAACAATCCAGCAATAACCTGTATCAACAAATTACAGGTTAGTATAAAAACAAATGTGCATAAATAATGTAAATAATATAAAAAAATATGACGTGGATTGCCATTAAAGACAGATAATAAAAATCATTTTTACAGTTAGATGCAAATATTTTTGGACACTGACATAATTTGATGTTATTTAAGTTTATTATTAAATCATATTAAAGACAATACTATGATGAACCTAGACTTACAGATTTGTAACTTTAATTTAAGGGGATGGACAAAAACACAGCATTAACTGCTGATAAAGAGCCATTTTCATGCATAGTCCAGTTTTATCAAGAAATAAAATGTAAATGAATACAATAAATAATAAATAAAATGCTTATTTTGTATACTTCATTGAGAATTATTGCAGTAAATGGTTACCTGAACCCATTGATATCACCACTGATTTCTTCCGTTGTGATGCTTTAATGCAGCTGTCTTGATTTGTGACTTTTTTGTTGGTCTTTATGCTCAGCATGGTGAAGACTTATGCAAAACCCCTGTGATTGCTCCAGGTTATTGTCCACCAGCTTTGCTGCATTTCACTGAACCTGTGCAGAAAGTATAGCTTTGCACCTTGTTTTTCAGGTATTGTTATTTTCTTCTGATCATGAGTTTTCCATCGTTTTTTACACCTGTCCTTCTGGTAAGGTAGGAGCTCAGTTTTATCTGTTGATAGTTTTTGGCAAAATCTAATCTAAATTTTCTTTTCTTGAGGCTAAGCAATGTGTTTTAACCAGCTTTTATCTTCTTTTTTACGTCAGAAGAATAAGAAGAAACTACTTTTGGCTACTCCATTGTGACAAGGGTTCACCACAGCAGGATCCTCAGCCTGTTTGATGTGGGAAAGTTTCACGCCAGACAAACCCTGAAGGGATTTGTGTCTCTGGCTGGATTCAAACCAGGAACCTTTCAATCATCAAGTGAATGTGTAAACCACTGCACTTTGCAGCCACTTATCTTTATGATAGACTTGGACAATGCCCAGCTCCTGGAAAGTCTTCTTCAGCCACAGAAACCATCTGCTTCCATGGATGTGTAGGTCTATCTTGCAGACCTCACCACTGTTTTCGCCCTTTTCTCTGAATTTGACCTTCTAATGTTCTCACTGTCTCTTTAATGACTTTCTAATGTTTTAACAATGTAAAAATCACTCATTCATTTTCACTGGTAGCATCTTTGACTGCATGTTGTAGATTTTCAGCAGCAGCTTAAAATGCAAATGCCACCTTCTGAACACCCCTCAAACATTTACCTGCTTGATGTATGAAGAATTAATAGAATTAAAAGAAAGAAAAGAAAAAGTACACACATATCAATGAAATGGCTTTAGTGCAATTATAATTGAGCCCCTCAAGATGATAGACAACATATAATTATTGCAAGAATTTGTAAATGATTAAAGCAATATTTTTGTCCAAACCCCAAATTAAATCACTAAATCCACGTCTACATCAAATTCATAACTGTACGTAACATAAAACCCTTCCTTCCTACCCACACAGCTAAAATAACAGAAACCGTGTCAGTATATAAAATATATGTTGAGCTCACTGTATCCAAATCATTCTTCATTAAATGAACACATCAGCTGCAGCTTGATTTTTTTGTTTGTGTTTTTTTCAGATTGTGTAATAATCTGAGGTCACAGTGGATGGCGATAATTTGCATCTTCTGATCCTTGAACAAGGTGACAGGCTGTAATCCTTTATCCTTTACTGAAAAAAGTGTTGGCAAACTTCACAAACCTTGTTATCTCAAAAGTGTGTTATTGCTCTATGCCTCACAGTGACACATTATTGCTTATTGTGCATGTTGCAGAGACCTCAGGGCTGTACTACAAAGTAGTTTAACTAATTTTCCCAGTGGTCATTTAAAAAAAACCAAACAAACCCAAACTCATCTTGAGTGGTGTTTGTGGTATATGACAACACGAAGGCAACTGAGATGTTGGCGAGTCAACTCAGTGTTGAGTTGCCTTCATATCGAATGGGAACTTTTGGCACAAGAATATTATATTAATATATTTCTTTCAAAGGGAGCAAGTAACACTTTCAACAACAACAACAACAAAAACAACAACAACAATAAAAAAGGCCATTAAAAATTCACACTGCCAAGTCAAAAAAACAAGTAGCAGACTCAAATGTTTTATTAGAATTACTTCAAGTTTTGATGACAACGCAAATTCCCATGGTATCGTTTCATAATCTTAGGCAAGAATTGCACAAATTTTTCACTAAGATCTTGTATTGTGTCAGCTGATTCATGTGTGAAAATGTTGTCTCCTGTTCCACAAACAACTCTGTGCAATATTTGCAATATTTTTTTCTTATATTTGACTGTGCAATAATCACTGTGCAATATACTCACTCAAATGTGCAATCCACTGGTATTCCTATTTATCCATATTATATATTCTGTATTTATATATGTGTATATATGGTATATTTATGCTTATATCCTTACTCTCATTCCCCTTTATTGTTTCTGTAACATGCAACTGCTGTCGGTGCTGCGCTACTGGAAACTGAATTTCCCAGAGGAAACCACCCGAGGGATTAATAAAGTTTCATCTAATCTAATCTTTCAGAGTTGCTGAATCCTCGATTTGTCTTCTCAGAATCATGAAAGAAAGAAAAAAACATTGATGGCAATTCAGTACATCAGCGGTAGTCAGCTGACCACTGATAAGTAGTTTTCCTAAAGCTACACAACTTGTACTGTCTTAACAATGTGGAAATGCTGTTAGCTTCATAAAACTTTTTTTCCCCAAGATGAAAAAATTTCATCCTTTTTCCCAAGATGATGGTTCACCATCATCCTCTTACCAGCTTGCTTATTTAAATACGGGTGGTTGCTTTTTTTTCTTTTTTTGACCAGGCAATGTAAGACAGATTCAGCATAGAAAATTTAGAAAACTTTTTTTTTCCAGCTGCCTACATTAATAGGCTTATCAGTATTATTGCCACATTATTAAAAGTACATCTCAACACAGTTACAATTATGAATTCTATCAATCAGCTGAAATTGTGGCAGTGTTTGTGGCAATCTAATGTGAAAGTCACCTACAAGGCTCAAGTGCTTTTGTTTGAGGATTGTGGTGCTAAATAAGAGCCAACCAAACACTGGAATGATTTGAAACTGTTTGCTGCTAGCAAGACAAAAAATGTAGCGGGGAATAAAGTTACCTCGCTAGTCACTAGTCTACACGGTCTCTCAAAACTCGACCTGCCTCTGAAACCTGCTAGAAGTCTTCGGAATTAATGATCTTATCAGTATTTCCTTTACAAAACCTTGAGTTTAAACTAAAATAAAAACATCACATCTGACAAATTTGTAAAAATGTTATGGTTTTCAGACTTGCATCTCCATCTCAGCTCCACCTCTTCCCTTGTTGGCAACAGGAGTAAGAGTAATGTCTGGGTTTAAAGGGCACTGCTCGGGCTGCTTTGCTTTTCTGTGCGTCAAGCTCTGCGGGACGCACAGCTGCCTGAGGTTCTGTGGAAAGACGATCAGTTCAGTCCATTTGCAATAAATCATAACTTTTCAAAATGTGCAGAAATGACCAAACACCTATAAAAGCTTCCCCAGTGTCCCTCACTATTGATTAGATTACTGCTAATTTGTTTGTTCTACGAATTTTTAAAATGAACATGTTTACAGTTTAACAGACAGGATGATGCCCTGGAGTCTTCTACTTGATCTGCTGACTGTTCCTCTGACACCAGAATGAACTCAGGACTTCTAATGGAAATGCTTTAATAACTATTAAAATGGATTGTGATGGGATTTAGTACAGATATTAATGCCCCCACACAGGATGTAGGGGGATAACTTTACTGAGCCTCTGATTTTTCATTATTCTTACATGTTTCCAGATGGATATCTTATCTGAACGACACTGGAGCATTTTTTTTTAACTCAATGACCTTTCAGCCAGTACAATCTAATGACGGGCTTTTGGCTTTTCTGGCAGCAAAAGCATATTAAAGTTTAGGGTAATCCATCAGGAAGTATTTTGTTGTCTGGTGCCCAGCTTTGCTAATGTTTTTGGCCTAAGATGAGTTGCTGAACTGTCTGTGTTAACTTTTGTCAAAGAGGCTGCAACTTTAAGGACAGTGATGTGAAAAGCTTTTACTTTAAACTACAGAATTGTAAGGCCTAATGCTCTTGAATGTGTTGGACTGTTAGTTAAAGAAAAGAACATTCTGATGTGTTGGCAGATTAAAAAGTTCATATAGTTTTAGATTTTTAAAATATTTTGTTCGACACCAGTAACAAGAGGAGACATGCACACAGCACTGTTGAATCCAAGCATGGACACTGTTTTGATCCATCTGCCACACTACCTTATCCTGACTGCACTTGTCATGGTGGAAAAACATTTAACACTAAACTGAACTGAATTAGTAACAAGATCAATGGTGGTGTTTCGGTGGTGCTCCTGTTTTCTTTAGAGTGCATACCTGACAAATTGTCCCTTTCATTGTAGTAACTTTAAAGATGATCCACAGAGGAACCAGAAGAACACAGAACAGTCCAAGAAACCAGCCCAAAGCGTACGCCCAGGTCGGATAGACGTAGGTTTTGTTGAACTTGAGAGGCTTATATTTCACAATTGAAAAGACAAAAGTACCCTGACAGAAACAAAAACAACACAACAATGAAGTTTTGAAATTTTAAAAGAAATTCAGTTTTAGAAAAATCTTTATCATCACTAGTGAAAGTACAATGAGTATAGGTTGCTAATAATAGGTTATCTAAGTACAGTTACTCTAAATGTATATGGATACTTTTGATTTGTGTTCTCTTCATCTGGGAATATTTTCCGTGGATTCATTGTTCCTTCATTGTCAGCAAATCTAAAATAAGTTATTAAAGAATTTGATTTTTGGTCCTGAAACATCTTGCTTGCAGATGCTGGTGTAGGCTCCCACTGTTGTAGGTCCTCTCGTGAAGCACTAAGCACTTTCCCTCCAAACCCATGTTTTCACTGCTGACATATTTACCTGACACAATGCTGCACATCATTAACATTTGTCTACAAGTCCTTTAGTTTCTGCTTTGCCTTGCTGGCTGTTCATAGTGTGATAATGTAGGGTCCTTGCATTATGCAATAAAATACATCTTGAGATGACTGTTTTTGTGAACTGTCTCTAAAAAATAATCCTGAAATAAATGAAAACACACACAATAATTAATAATGAAATAAACTATAGTAGATTTTCTCTTCCCCCATGAATAAATTAGACTACTTGTGTTCTTAGGAACTCTGTTTCACTCACTAGACACACAGCAGGGGTAACGTAAAGCCAACAATGCTTCATTAGAGGCCAGGGACGATAACCTATCATGTCTTCAATGTTGTCATAAAGACGATCAGCACCTGAGCAAAACATGAGAAGTTAATAACAAGGTTAGAATTATCACTATACATTTTACCAGGACTGATAAAATAATAATAAAATCATAAGAGTTAATAATGAATAGAATCATAAAATGCTTTCTACAAAGTCAACCAAAACAGTGAAAGTCATTCCTAAACAGTGTTGGGCAAGTTACTTTGAAAAAAAAAGTAACTGAGTTAGTAACTGAGTTACAATATTCTAAAAGTAATTAATTACTTGAAAAGTAACTATTGCGTTACTTTAAAAAAAAACATTTAACCCTCTGGGGTCCAGGGTATAATTGGCCATTTTTAACTACTTTTAATTTTCCCTCCACATTTTACCTTTAAAAACTATTTACTTTGCCCTGTTTGGCATCATTGTTTTCAGCACAACCTCACGTGTCTGAATTTACAAGTACGTTTTCATTTTGACATACTGTATTAACACAATTGATCTAAAATCAGACAAACAACATAAAATCAGAGTCGAAGTTATATTTTTTACTGTAACAACCAAAAAACATGTTTAATAAATCATATTTCATAACTTTAAATGCAAATATAAATTCTCAATTTTAAAATCCTATGCACAAGTTTTGCAAACAACAAAGTTATTTGCATCCATTTACCTTTTACCTTGATTTTTTAAATAACCATTTCAAACTATTTACAGAACAATCAGCTGTTCTGCATTCAATAGGATGCCACACAAATTATTTGTGCCACTCCAAAACAATAATTTCTGTCGACTATAAAGGAGAACATCACAGCCTGATACCTGCAGGCCTGACAGCAGGTGTATCACTCCTGTTTCTACCTGGAGACAGCAGTCGCCTCATTGTTCTGACACATGACACAAAACTATCCACAACACTACACACTAACTACACAAGACAACACATTAACTACACACTCCAAACACGCTAAACGTCACAAATCTCTCACATCTCAAAACTCGCTCTCTCTCTCTTTTTCTGCTGTCTCTCTCTCTCGCTCTCTCTCTCACCGTCACTCCTAAAACTTCCCCTGTTTGTTTGTTTGTTTGTTTGTTTTGCTCATAAGCAGAGAGTGCTTGCTAGCGCTGTCCTTAGACAGTAAACATGACGAAACTATTGAGGAAAAAACGCCACCTATATATTGTTTATCATGACTCTGGTTTTATGTGGCCTATCAACACAATTTAAAAACTGGTATATATTACCTTGTTGCTTTGTCTTTAAGTGGTCATGTGATTGGCTTACCACGACTACTTTATTCTTCCTCAGTCAAACCCTTAGTTCCAGGTGTTGTACTAGACAGTGACCGTGATTACCGTCAGCGGGAGCGCGCGCTGCTGCTTAAAGCTGTAGCATCCAGATTACTTACGTAGTCAGCTACTTCCGTGCAACTGATATAAGATGCGGTAAGCTGAACACAGCTTCAACTGTCTGGTTGTTGAAAAATAGTAACGGACAGTTTTCTTGTTAGTAACTGTAACGGCGTTGTAACGATAGGGAATAGTAATTAGTTAGATTACTCGTTACTGAAAAAAGTAACGCTGTTAGTAACGCCGTTACTTGTAACGCCGTAGATGACAGTAGATGACAATTGATTTTTAACAGTCGTGCAATCAATATTTGCCCATTTATCTGACACATTATGATCATTGATACCGTGGTGCCAGTGGTTCGGTCCTAGTTGAGCATCACTGTCTCTCAAAGAGTTTAATAACAATATTTACACTTAGATATGAATGAAGATATCAGCTGACATCACTGCTTCACACACCAAATGTTTTTCTCATCCTAACCAGGAAACACTGTGAGGCAGTCCATAAAGCTTTGTTCATGCATTGCAGATGTGTTGTTATAGTTGAATGTTTAGTGTTCTTTAGATCTTTTGCGTTCATTCACATTCAAAGAATCACTACTTTCAGCTGATTTGGATGCCACAAAGTGCACACATAAGGAACACTAAATGCATTTGAAAATGACACATTTAGTTAAAACACAAAGAAAAACAGTAAAATGAAGGTCTGCATATTAATTTTTTTGAACACACAAAATATGACCACATCTTCTCCAGTCTAAATAACCTCAACACTATCCCGCACATTATGTTTAAACATCAGTTTCTTCCATCACATGAATAGAAACGTTTCAGGCCATTACTTCTAGTAAATAACGGGCACATTGTACACGTCTTGTACAATTTTAGAGCTAACCAAACCGTGCAAAGGTTTAGGCAAGCTTAGCTTGATCTCTCAGATGATTACCAAAGCTTCAGGTTAAAAGTTCCACACTTATCTTAGCAGCCAATCAATCAGCAGCCACTGGCTCATCTAAGTAGCTTAGTACTTTTAAGATTAAGACAAATGATGCAAGGAAAGTAGGAAAAAGCTATAGGATGGATTTCCAGGTATCTTTAGTTTGCAACACTATTAACAAATGGTAGTTAAAAGGAAGTTGATGTGTGAAAGAAAACCTAACCTCTAGCAACACCTGCCAAACCACAAGACTTTTATGCATAATCGACACTAAATTCAGCGTCAGAGGTTTGCAAGTTTGTATATCTAAATGAGGCTAAACGGAGACCTATGGGTACATGAAGTTAAAGCAGAACTTTCTAGCCACAACACATGTCAGCTGTTAAGCAGTAGGATGGATCCATTATGCCTTCAGCTTATGTTTCAGCCAGTGGCAGTAAATACAAGCAGTTTTTTTCACAAGGCAAATGTCCAAACATTTGCTAAAAAAGCTAAAAATACAAAGAGCAAAGCATCTGCAAGAACATTTCAATATGAGTACATAAACAAAAGGTGAGAACCCCACCTGTCACTCTATGTTTCACAATTTGAGAACCACTGATTTAACAAATGCTTTAGTTAGCAAGAGGGAGATAGCAGGAAATATTAGATGAGCCTCTGGAAGAATGCAGTAGTTAGTGGTCATAATTTTAACCTCTAACTAATTTGAGAGCTTTTTTTTTTTTAACACTGACTTCACATAATTGTGTTGTTAGACTGGGCCTGAAGGGAAAACTCCACCGCAATAGAAAGTGGTTAAAAAGTGAAGCTGCTGGTAAAGTGGTGCTGAGCCAGTACCCACAAGACACGGCTTATTCTTGTGACCCCAGCTGAGCAAGATTCAGAATAGCTGGAATGAACGCCTATACAGTAAGCCTAAATTTTGGCCATTTAGTAATAAGTGACTCAATAAAAGCAGCCTTAAGTGTATTTTCAATTAATGCGGGATTAGCAGGATTTGAATCAGCTTTCTTAGCCAGATCTGTGCAAACATGCAAGGATTTGACTCTCGGATTTTAATGACTCACCATATATCCATCCAATCGCTATCGACTGACACACAGAAAGAAGGAGAAGATTGTTTCCACTACACACATAATGATCAAAGAGTTGAAGGAAATACAAGCCGCCCTGCAGGAAGACAGAGAGGTTAATTGGTATAGCTAATCAAAGATAAAGACAACAAATGCATGCATACAAATTCAGTTTTGCCTAAAAAGAACTAAGTTAAGAGTAATGAGCACTGGTCCATTTTTACACCCTACTGAGGGTAGCGTAAAGACTTGTGGGAAAGTTAATCAGAGCTCTCACCTCGGTGACAAGGAGGAGGCCGAGAAAAAAGCAAACAGAGCAGATACAGAGCAGCAGCAATTCTCGACGATAAGCTCTTCGAAACACATTGGGGAACATATCCGTCACTGAGGTCATCAAACACTCCAAACTCACAAACTGCAAGAGACACAGACAAATCAAACACATTTACTAAGAACCAAACATGTACAGTGATGAAAAATAAACAGGATTTCTAATGGCTTAATGCAAACCTGTGTATCTGCCCCCAACAAGATGACCATGATGAAGAAACATATAGCCCATAATTGAGGTAAAGGCATCATGGCTACCGCGCGCGGATAGGCAATAAATGCCAAGCCAGGTCCTGTTCAGAAATATTTTCAGTCATTGATGGCAACTTAAATATTTTTGGATAAAACTGCTTACTGCAGCCTTCTCCCAATTTATATTTTAGTTACAGCACTCTAAATGTTTTAAATCTGGACTCACAAATTCTTGCAACATCCTACTGTTAGGCATATTAACCTGATGGCATTCATTTATTTCATTGGAAAGAGTTTAAGGTCAGGAGGATTGTTCAGGATTAAAGACGGGGAATTACTGTATTAGCCGTGCTTAGCTAAGAGAAGCTAATACAGGGATTTTGTCTCCAAAATTAAATTAAAGCCATTTCCATGCCAAGTAAAAACACAGGCCCAGCTTTTCCATTTAGCACTGTTTTGTTTTGCTTTGATTTTGGTTGTTTTTTTGTTTGTTTTTTTTGTTTTTTTTGGTGGTGGGGGGGGGAAGGGGGCGTATTTTAAAGTGGATTAATAAAACACACTGACAGTGTAATGACTTCATTAAATATAACAGAGGTTGTGTAATGATGCCCTACCAGAAGCTGCCACTTCTGATATTGGCAGTCCTTGTTCGTAGGACATAAATCCCAGAACAGAAAATATTGCAAACCCTGCAACAAAACTGGATCCTCCGTTAACCAAACACAGAACAAATGTGTCTCTGTGGAAACAAAAGAAGAAAACACACAGCATTCAACAAAGAGCAAAACAAGAAACCCACCCACAAAGCAAAAGCAGCTGTTTAAAATGTTGAAATATGAAAAAAAGTACCTTGCTGCCCAAGATATTAAGTAAGAAGAAAAAAGTTGTACAGGATTTGAGCATTATGTAAACTTTTTTATTTACTGTTCCATAATCAAGGGGTGTCATACACAGTCTGCATGTTATTAAGAAAGCCTGTGCCGTTTTATGAATGTATCACTTTGGTGCTCCCTGCTGGCTATTCTAAAACTAAGCGGTCAGGGATTAAATAACGTTGAAAACATCTGTTTAGTGCAGTTTTATCTTGTCATGACAATAAGATTACTACAATTTTTGAGCATATATTTTTTTTAAATTTAAGAATATGGGCGGAGGAGCGTACTCACTTGTAACAATCATTGTTATACTTATTGTAACTGCCCAGAGCCGTCAAACTCCCCTGACAAATCCCAAAGGAGAAAAGAACTTGTGCACCCGCGTCCATCCAAACCTGATGCCAACACACAGATATTAGTTTACTCATCACTAAATGACGATATTCATTGTGTAAAATGTAGGTATTTTAGTGTTTAGGCTTCCATGGGTAGTGTGCAAGCTTGCAGCTTTGCTTGGTATTGACACATTGTTTTGATCTTATTACTTACTTGAGGGTCCACCAACCTTGTGGGGTCAGGATACAGGTAAAAAGCTAAGCCGTTTATGGCTCCTGGTAAAGTGAGTCCACGAGCTAACAGAACCACTAACATCACGTAGGGAAAAGTGGCCGTAAAGTAAACTACCTGTCAACAAGAAGGAAATGCATGGTTCAAAGCAGACATCACAGGGACATTGTAAAGTTTGATGTTCTTTGGTGTAAGAAAACATTTTTTGCCATCTAAACATATTTCAGACAATACATTCCTCATTTGTGCCATAGTATTGTCTCTCTTTTTTTGCTTGCAAAATGAGACATGACTGCTGTCTGCATTTAGGTGTAACTCCTCTTCCTCCAAATACATCCCTGTGCCTCCTCCCAAAGAGTTCAGATTTAGCTTGATCTGTTCACAGAACATTAAGCAATACTGGAACCATGTGATCTTTGAAACTTAAGAGGGGGTTGCTGTTACCTTAGGTTCTTACTCATCTCTTTTAGAATTGCACAATAGTGTAATCTACACAGGAAGCCACTCCCAGGGAGAGTACCAACACTCCTGAACATTTGCCTTGTTACATCCTGATAAACTCCAGCTTGTATGTATTTCTGTATTGTCCTTCTAAGGTCCTATAAAGGTTCTTTTGATTGAAGTATATGTTCACACCAACAAATTTATATGAGACGATTAAACTTTCAGCAACCAGACCTTGGATGTGACTCTGATCATTTTCTTTTCAGTGACCAATTAAAACAATCATGGTATTTTCCAAGGGTTCACAAATTTATTCTTGCAATATTACTTCAAAAGATACCGTAGATGTGATAGTAGATGTATAAACTGTGTCTACCGAACTTATTTTCTAAATGCAGACTAATAAATCATATTTTAAAGATGTTTCTCTACCTTTCCAGTGGACTTCACTCCTTTCCAAACACAGAAGTAACAAATGATCCATGCCAGTAAGAGACACAAGGCCAAATCCCACCTCAGGCTACCAATCTCCTCAATCCCTTGAGATATACCCAGTACTCTTCTCCTGAAAATAAACCCATATTATTTGTTAAAACGACAGCCATTTGGGCGCAAAAAAACTTTTTTTCACAACTACTATAAGTGATAACAGAGTTGACACAATGCAAATGTTACAATATTTATTTACAATAAACCAGAAACTCAGTTATATAGTTGCCCATCAGCCAGACACTAACCTTCCTTATTTACCTATATAGATAAAAAATGCACATAATTTCAACAAATTTAGTGGATTCAAATCTCATTACCTAAAATATGTTCAAGGTATTTAGTTCTACAGATAGTCTTTTAGTTCTAATACGTCTTCTTTTATCCACTTGTCCAATTCCAACAAAAATGTATTTTTGTGACAGGCTGCTAGTCACAAAGTGCCTAAAGATATCATTTCAGAGTACAGTAAACACCACAGATTAAAAGGAATCAGAAATGATTATACTTTTATTATATTCAGTAAATGACATGTTACTGTCATGGAGTTAAAATGATAAGGTGCTAGGCAACATGATGAATCATAATATGTAAAATAGATAGAACTTTTAGCAGCCAAGTTTGGTTGCATAACTTATGACCATGTAAGAGGAGAACAAACTGATACATAGAGATTTGCTGCATTATAATGTGTGAAGTCACTGGTTGGCTGTAACCAGTCATATCAGGGGCAACTTAAACTCATTCAGCACCAAGTGTTTAAGTTCAGGACTGATGTGAGTATATGATCAGTAGTAATCTTGGCCACGAAAGTATCAGCATGCCACTGATCACATTACTGATGTCAGTACATTTATGACATACATGGTGATAAGAAGGCACCAATCATACCTTCCTAATATTGACTCTATCAATAGGACCACTCCTTCCATAATCGTGACCAACAGTATCATGATTAAAATCATCCAACAGCACAAAGGTGGTATGCTGTGTGTGGTACAAAGTAATATTTCAAGCAGTTATATAATTTGATATCTGGTGAGTTCGTAATTTTTATCAACACTGAGAATCGAGACTGGGCCAGATGAGCTCACAGCTGTGTACAGCCGCGTGTTATGACTAAACACGATGTGACCTAATCAGTATCTGAATAATCCAACACAAAAATGACTTGATGGTATTATCGCCAATTATCAGCATCCATCCCAAAAAGGATCTTACATCTGTACCAGATTACAAGAACAGATCTAAAGACAATGAGAGCTAAAAAGATGGATGTTCCAGATTAACAATCAGGAAATTGTATTTGGACTGATTATGTAGTGTGGTAACCATGTGTTTACAGATTGCCTACTCTGATAACTATTGAGAAATAATGAGCAGCTATTGGTTAACCAGTATGGAAATGCTGCTTTCCAATAACTCAAATATATGTTGTTGAAATTTAGGGACTGATGGCTTCAGTGTTCGGCAAAAACTCCAGAGGTAAATCCATCTACCGAGGTCAGAGCCATGTCATTTACACTTACTCCCAGAATTCTGTTGCTGGTGTTGTTGCCGGTGTTGTTGCGTTTGCAGCTGCTGTCCAGTTGGATGACGCATTTGCTTTATCAAATTCAAAACAAGACTCTGACAAAGAAAAAAGCAGAGCCATGTCAACAAAGTTTAATCTATGTTTGATAAAAGAGATATTGGAGACTACACATTTGTCAAGCACAAAATGACCTCACTGTCATGTGAGATTCCCCAAATCATCTAGATCACCATGCCAATAACCCTGAAATAAAGAATGACCACAGTGAAATCTTCCTTCGCTTTGAATAGCTACCTGTATTCCAGGAATTCCTGCAGCTAGCCCATGGAATCTCAGCACTGAAGGATGAAAAGAGGTAGAAGAAAGCCCATGCCTGGATCACAATGTATGAAACAGCAGCATATGCAATCACTACCTGGGTTGCATATCCAATACCTGAGAAGATAAAGCGGAGTCAGTATATATTATAAAAAGGCAATTAAATTATACTGCAACATATGGAGTAAATTTCAATGGCATCCAAAACATTTGTACTTTTGTATTTTTTTTTTAAACCTGCCCTGCAAGAGAGTTTCACAGAACTATCTGGAAAGTAGCTGTTGGAAAATATTTTGAAAATAATGGTGCTAACATCAGTCCAAAGTAAGAGGGGCAGGTTTAAGAGGGCCTACCTATTACTAGGTTCAGGCACTTGAGGGCTTGTGCATGTTAATAATAATAATAATAATAATAATAATAATAATAATAATAATAATAATAATAATAATAATAATAATAATAA